TGGTTGGCGGGTGCTCTGGTGTGGTTTGCTCCTTCTTTCCTATCAAACATCTATCGTCCTGATCTCTCCTTCTTTTTTATGTTTGTTACTCTCTTGTAACACCCCTAATCTTCGGAGTGGGTGGTTGGCGGGTGCTCTGGTGTGGTTTGCCCCTTCTTTCCTATCAAACATCTATCGTCCTGATCTCTCCTTCTTTTTTATGTTTGTTACTCTCTTGTAACACCTCTAATCTTTGGCACTTATATGACCTTATTATTTTGTAAGTGACGTAAAACTCTTACTACAAAAAGATATTTTTATCGTGATGTTAATGTGGGTTGTGCCTAACGGGTTTTAAAAACAAAGGTAAATATATAAACATTCCTCAAACTAAAAAACCGTGTTCGTAATATTGAGTGCAAGAAATCAGCAATAATTGGAAAACACTGCAAAGTCACGTTTTATTTTCCCCATCAACCTGCTGAGCGGGATCCAACATGTCAGCAGACAGGCGGAAGTACTCAATAAAGTCATTACTTCCGGTCAAGAGAATTTGAACGCATGTTTTTCTCGTGCTGAGTTATGAGCAGCTTAACCATTTTGGCTTAAAATAGGTTTCTTGAAAAAGGTCAACTGTCAAAAGCGAGCTGTGCCCTATCATTATATTATATATGCCTAGGATCATTATTCCTGTATTTGTAAAACCCATAATTTGGGTTGGATTTGATATAACGTGTGATTTGTCTGTAATTAAAGTTGCCTTAGAGGAGCAGTATAGCAACAATCAGGTGATGCTAACGTGTGTGAAAAATAAGACAAAACAAAGCGAAAAAGAACCACAACAAAAACTCTATCCTCATCCCTTTGTTTCACCGTTTAACAGTTTGTTTCTATTTCTCGGATGATTGTTTTTGGCCTTTCTTTTATCTTCTCACCCATTTATATGCAAACTGAAACAACCCATACACCCCTTTCACGCTGTAAAAAAAAATAAAAAAAATACCCAAATGAAAACAACAACATTTAAAATAATTTTTAAAATTAGAAAATGAAGCCTACCACAAGATACAGAAAGAAACAAAAAGCAAATCAGAACAAAAAAAAACCTTAAAAAAAAAAAAAGCAACAAAGTAAAATGTGTTCACTTGCCAGCCAGATCCGCTTAAAAAAAACTTTTTCTCTGCTCAAACTTGAACGACATCTAGTGTTATCACCAGTAATCTGTAACTGATTTGTTTTATATACTGTTATTATTTTCCCTTTGTGGCGTTATCAAAAGTAATCTATAACTGATTTGTCTTATACGCTGTTGTTGTTTTTCCCTTTTGTTTCGATCAGAGGGCGACGACCGACTCCAGATAGGAACTGTGGTGTTACAGGCAGACAAAGCGCTGGGAGGGGTCAAGTCTGTGACCTTCTTCAACCACACGTTCAGTGAGTACACACAGAGCCTGATATGTTCAGCTGTATCTCTCTCTTTCTCTCTCTCTCTCTCTCTCTCTCTCTCTCTCTCTCTTTCTCTCTTTCTCTATCTGTCTCTCTCTCCCTCTCTCTCTCTGTCTACTTGTCGTTCTCTCTCTCTCACTCACTCTCTTTCTCTCTCTCTCTCTCTCTCTCTCTCTCTCTCTCTCTGTCAGTCTGTCTGTCTGTCCGTCTGTTTGTTTGTGTGTCTGTCTATCTGTATATCTATTTGTTTATTTGTCTGTTGATTTGAATCTCTATCTGTCTTTCTGTATGTCTTTTTCTGAGTCAGTCTCCCTCTCTCTCTCTCACTGTATCTCTCATTCTTTTTCTGTCGGTCTCTATAGCATGTATATATGCCTATTTGTTTGTCAGTCTTTTTTTCTATCTATCTATCTATCTATCTATCTATCTATCTATCTATCTATCTATCTATCTATCTATCCCACTGTCTCTGCCTCTCTCTTTCTCCCACACATACACCAAAGCACACCTAACTACAAACAAACACACAAACAAACAAGCACACCAAAAACAAACACACTTGCATAAGCACAAAAAACAGAAACATACATAAACACAAACACACAAACACGCACACACTCACGTACACACAGATAAACTTAAACAAGGCTGGAGGGCGCCACTGATGCTTCTCTTTTTTATCTCCATAATTGCTGTCTTTTTTTTTCTCATATTATTTTCCAAGAATTAACAAACGGTCACAATTGCGAAGTGTTGTTCTTGTCTTTACGCAGATATGACAACACAATTGATATCCTATTATGTGACTGTAATATTGTTAGAGTGTATTTTAAACACTCATGTACGGGTACTGATAAAATTAAGTACGTACTTGCTAGAGTACACATCCTCTATAATAGCAAAATTCAAAAATTAAGGGGAAAAAAACACCAAACAACGAAAAGCATATCATAGATTCTGACAGTAAATCATTTCGGTGTCAATGGTATAGCGGTTAGACGTTTTCCTTGGAACGCAAAAGTCCTGTGATCCATTGGTGTGAGAGAAGAAGTATTATCAAATTTCTCGATTTTTCTGCCTAGACGCTGTATCCCTCTCAGAACAGGTTGGCATCGACCAAAAAGGCTTTAATAAACACACATCCTAAATAACTTAAGTTATGTCGATTGAAGCTTAAGACACACTGAAAAAAGGACCCCCTCCCACCTCCCACCCCACAACATACACACACACACACACACACACATACACACACACACACACACACACACACACACAAATACACATACAGTCAAATAAGCAAAATTAATAACAAAACCAAAAACAAAACGTAAAGAAAAAGAAATCCAAAAATCTTCAAAAAACTGACAATTTTCTTCCTAACACAGAGGAGGAAATTGCAGGTGGTCAGTTTCACATCGAGGTAAAGTACAATGGTCAGGACCTGTACGACAACTACTGGGAGTTGTGTGAACTGGAGGATGACCTCCCGGAGAAAAACCGAACCTTCACCTGTCCCATACAGGCCAAGCACTGGACTGTGGTCAAGGAAAAACACGTGCCTGGGTATCTGCCCACGGTGAGTGGATGATGTTCGAATCCGGGTAGCAACGGAAAAAAATTATTCTCTAAAATTGTATTCTTTCACCTCTTTTCCTTCTCTCTAGCAATGTTCTGTCGTTTGCTTTCGTATCTGTTATGTTTTACTTGTGTGTGGGTGTTTCTTTGTGTGTATGTGTATGTGTTTGTGTGTGTGTGTGTGTTAAAAGTTATCAGTTCACATCCAACCTATTTTTTAAGGTCCCGTTTTTTTATCTGTCCTTCAGAATTTATTTTTCCGATATATCGTTTTTTAAGTCTTTGTCTGGCATTTGATAATTAATTTTGCTGGTCTTAATCTACTTGGTGCAGTTAAAAAGCATTGCGGACACTTTTGAGGACGTAAGATCAAGAAGATTAATAAGAAGATATCAGGAAAAGGGACACAGAGCTAAGAGAAACGAAGAAGAAGAAGGGGGCTCTAGTAGCCTAAAGGTTTATGTGTTCGCTTCTCATTCAAAGGTCCCGGGTTCGAATCCGGGTAGCAACGGAAAAAAAATATTCTCTAAAATTGTATTCTTCCACCTCTTTTCCTGCTCTCTAGCAATGTTCTGTCGTTTGCTTTCGTCTCCACCTTCTGCCTCCACCTCCTTTGCCCCCTCCTTTGGGCTCCTAACTCTTTCTGCAGCCTTTCTACTGCTACTCCTTGGCTCTTTCTTACTGCTGTCTTTCAGCCACACCCCTGGTCTTCTGGTAGGAAAGATCTACATCTAGCTTTCTAGGACAAGGTCGAAAAAACTCGGAGGTCCCGTGTGCAAGTTGCCTTTGTGGTCTAAAATCGATAATAGTAGGCTTCGGCCGCCACCCGGGCAAAATTCAAAATTTCCTACCAACTGAAAATGTGTGGTGTATCCCTCGGGCTCATATTACCCGAAGCAGTTGCGAGCGCCGTAAAACACTTACCGAAAAAAGGAGAAGAAGAAGAAAAAGACGATTAAAAGTGGAAACGGAGGTGACGAGAGACTGAGAGAGCAAAAGGGATAGATAGATAGATAGATAGATAGATAGATAGATAGATAGATAGATAGGTAGATAGATAGATAAATAGAGCGCGCGCGCGCGAGAGAGAGAGAGAGAGAGAGAGAGAGAGAAAGAGAGAGAGAGAGAGAGAAAGAGAGAGAGAAAGAGAGAGAGAAAGATAGATAGATAGATAGAGAGAGGGTGAGAGAGAGAGAGAGAGAGAGAGAGAGCTGATAGCTGATAGCTGCGTAGCTCCATTATCACAACCTTCATCCACAGTAGGTTATCTTGTTGAGTATATCAGCATTGTTCGATAACGTCATGTATCTCGACTGTGCTCGCTTATCAGTCTTCGAGTTGACTGTTGTGTGACACTAACTCTCGTTTTTAGACAAGTCAGAGGAGTTGGTGGTGTAATGTTAATTCTCTGCCCTTACGAGAAGGAGATCTATGTTTGATTTCTGCATGGGGATAAGTCGGATGGGTTGTCAGCAGCACACGACGTGGCTTTTACTGCGTGTGTCGTGTACAGGGTAGGGGGGGGGGGGTCGTTGAGCACAAGCATTCCGAGTGTTTCCGTTTAGTTTTTGTAAGAGTTTTATGAATTCGAGTGTGAAGCTCTAACAGAGATGTTAGCGCATTACAGTCATACGTGACACGACTCACTACAGGTGGAATTAAGTGCTCGTCAATTTTGTGGCAAAAGAGTTACAACATCATCTTAAAGTTGGTTTGTTTGTCTTGCATTTGGGGTTACAAAATACCCATTTGTATTGAATAAAAGTCGAGATATTATTTATGATTGAACAGGAAGGTGTCGCCTTGTTTCAGTGGTAAAATTATGAGAAAGTTTGGTAACTTCAACAGCTTGCCAGGGTCCTTATATGGACATAAAAGATATTGAGCCTGAAAACAACAATTCAATAAAAATTGCCACACTTGCAGAAAATGCATGTTTCTTCGATTTCATCATTTTGACAAGCGCCTGATTTTACCGCCTATACCTCAAATCCCCC